TGCTCAGAATCAAGATATGCACTCGGTTCGTCTATCAGATAAATGTCAGCTGGCTGCATCAAGAAAACCACACACCAGACCACAGTTAGCAACTTTAAATATTTTAAAATGCAATGTAGAAGAATGCTAAAATAATAAGCCATTCAATCCAAGGGGTAAAACAGAGGAGGAAAGCCAGCTCAACATGTGATTAATCATCAATGCACAGTGCAAACATTTTGACTGACATAAAATTTGACCACATTAATCTCTCAAAAATCTAAACCCCAAAACCACAATTTAACAGACCAGTACACTACAAGTAAACTCTACATTTCAAAAGACTGCTCAACACATGAAGGATTCAGCATACTTTAAGAAATCAGTATCATGAATTAAAGTATCAACAAAACAACTCCAGACATCAATCTTCATTCACCAGCATAGATGATAGCAGACCAGATAAAATTTCTTTACCTTTCCAAGGCATAGACATAATGCAACTCTTTGCAACTCTCCACCAGATAGATTTACAACTTCTTGATCCATCAGTTGCTCAATAAGAAGTGGTTTCATGACATCTGAAACAAACTGAGGATGCATATACGAATCACGTATCTTTGAATGCAGTAACTGCCTGACACTGAATTGAAATTTGGGGCTGATCTTCTGAGGTTTGTAAGAAACATTGAACTCAGGTATCTCGGCTTCGGAACCCTCTACAGTATCAGGTTTCAATAAACCAGCCTGCACATTTGCCAACAAATAACTCATTTACAGGCAGAAATTCACATTGCAAGGAAAAAAAAAAAGGATGAAGAGACTACCAGCATACGGATAAATGTTGTCTTCCCTGTCCCATTCTCACCTAGCATTACAACAATCTGAGAGTCAGTAAATTCACCCTCAACGACACGAAGTTTAAAATTTCCCTGAGTTTTACTCATGGTTGGGGATTTGTATCGTGCATATGTTTGAATCTCCTCAGCATTCTCCTGTGGAGTCTCAGCAACCTGGGAAATGCAACAAATTTAATGACAAAAAGAAAAAATGCAGAATGAAGGGAAGTAAATGTTTAGAGATTAAAAAAATACCTTGAAGGTTAAAGATTCATCCCGGAATCGTAGATTTTCTGTAGGAACAAACCCAGACAAGAATATATTGATACCTTCTCTCACAGAGAATGGAAGAGTTACCACTCCATATGCACCCGGTTTCCCGTACAAGCAGCAAATGAAGTCAGATAAATAATCCAGGACACTGAGATCATGCTCCACCACAATTACATAGCTGAAATGAAGACATAATCATTGTAACCCTTGTTCTCAGTACAAACCACAAAGCATTGCTAACAAAGAAAAGAAAAGAGGAGGTCAAACCTGTTGGGCCTGAGCAAAGATCGGATAACTTGGGCAGCTTTAAGCCTCTGCTTGACATCAAGATAACTTGAAGGTTCATCAAACATATATATCTCTGCATTCTGTATTGCAACAACAGCAATGGCAAATCTTTGGAGCTCTCCGCCAGATAAATCCCCAACATTACGATCTATAACCTGGTTCAGTTCAAGATCACGACAAAGTTCCGCCTTCTTGTCCCTCTCATCTTTTTGGTCAAGCACTTGTCCAACATTGCCTTGAACTGCTCTTGGAATATGGTCAACATACTGAGGCTTTATGATGGCCTGCATATGAAACAAACATGATTTTAGCAGGAAGATACAAATGAAAAGTAAACTAATAATAAGACATCCAAGAAGAGGAATGGCAAAGACACTCGGGATGTGAAAATACATGCATAATCCTGAACATGATTTTCTAAGATGATTTTACATGACATTCTCTAAGAAAACATCATTTCATGATTGTCTCCATAACAAGGAAAGGGAAGTCTGCATGCTAAGGAATGAATTACAGCATGGAAGCTTACATGACATTTCGCATAAGCATCAAACTGTAACTCAAGCTATCAAATTAACAATCTAGGTATTACTATTATTCACGAAAAAGTGAAGGAGCCCTAACAGAACACTTAACTGAATGACATGGGCAAAGTTAATTACATGTATTAAAAAAAAAAAAAAGCAAAGCCATGATCTTGATAGGTGAAAGGAATCAGTACCATGGCTCCTATGTTAGTGTCAGGTAACTTTCACAAAAGGAAGTAATATTTCTAGCAGTAATGCAAAGTTTAAATGCAATTGAGCATGCCCAAATAGATGGGTTACCTTCAAATTATCCTCTAGGATACGGGTAAAGTAATTCTGAAGCTCAGATCCTCGAAAGTAAGTCAAGATTTCCTGCCAATCAGGAGGGTTCTGCAAAGAAAAAAGAAAAATGAGAATAAGGTAACTAACATAAATGCATCTTCGTAAGCTAGAAATAAGAGAAAGGATACAACAAAATGGGGCTGTTTATTACATTGAATCGACCCAAATTAGGTTTGAGTTTTCCAGCCAGAACTTTGAGAGCAGTGGACTTGCCAATACCATTTGTTCCAACCAAGCCAAGAACTTGCCCAGGCCTCGGGACTGGTAACCTGCCAATACATTATTTATTTTGTATTGTTTTTTTTTTTTTTTTTTTTGCTAGAAAAAGCATTGATCGAGCAAGTAAAGGCAGGCCGGCAGGCAACCAACCTGTGCAATTTAAAGGTATTGGGACCATAACGATGGGTCGTGTCTTTATCCAAATCCTTGGGCAAGTTAATGATCTGAATTGCTTCAAACGGGCATTTCTGCATCACAGGATAAACAATCACCCAGTCAGCAATCTAGTAACAATAATAATAAACTCTGAGAGAGAAGGATATGAGCTTGCCTTAACACAGATACCACATCCAATGCACAGCTCCTCCGAGATAAAAGCTATCTTCGAAGCTGGAGTTACCTCGATACACAGCTTGCCTATAATTTGGATATATTAGATTAAACAATTGCTTATTTATGTATCTATAAATGCCCTAATTTCACAACAATAATATTATCAATAACAAAACCTAACACTCCAAACTGACAGTAAGAAAGCTTTCCTAAGCTTTCTAATCACAGCCTAAATTCGAGCGAACAATTACGAGAATGAAAATAGATCGATTAGATTTAAATCAACAGAGAGTGGAGTAATTGATTCAAGGAAAACTACCAGTTTTGACGACAGGGCAACTTTTCTTGCATTCTTGACGGCACTTCTTAGGTTTGCATCTGTCGGAGGTTACTATAGCTATACGCGTCAATCGATCTGACATCTCTCCCTCTGTTTTTCTTTATTTGATTTTGATTTTAAAGAGATATCAAGAGGAAGAAAGGATGGAGAGGGGGATTCGAGAGAGACAAGGGGAGAGATACGCGTGCTGGGAACGCTTCCCTCTCTGTGGAGTTGTCTTCCGGTGAAAAACCCCTACCAAAAAAGTAAGTATGAAAATGAAAAGTCTACTAGGGTTTTCCATTTTCTTATTTTTGGTGATCCGCCGCCGTTTTTTTAAGTCGGTTTCTTTAACCCACGTCATCTTTCACTTTAATCTTAAATCTTCTGGTATTTTTCAGTATATTTTATATTTTAAAAATGATTTCTAATTATTTTTTTATATTTTCAAGTAAAAAACAATTGTCACTGTAATATTAATTCATCTACTATTATTACTTTCCTTTTCTAATTAACGTTAACAATAAATAAGAAAAAATAAAAGCAAATGAGGTCATAAAAAAAGGATGGAGGAAGCTTTGGCCAGCCACATTCTAACTGCAAAACTGACTGCAACACTAGGAGATTTGTTTTGGGAAGAAGAGTTATATGAATGTATTTTTGGCCATTACTTTAAAATTCAAAAAAAAAATTATTCAATTTGTTTTTTAATTTTTTTTATTATAAGGTGTTTTAGAATTGAAAATGAAGTTATTGAAATTATCATAATGTTTTATTGATATTTTCAGATGAAAATATATTATAAATTAAATTTTAAGAGTCCTGAGAGTCCTGAACCTTATTTTTTTTAATTCCTTACAAACAATTGTTTTAGTTAATGACTTCTGGTGGTTTTTATTTTTTTTAGAGAACAAAACATGAGCAAGAAATATTTCCCAAGAAAAAACATAAATGATCAGCGGAGGGGGAAGAGAATATTACTGTTTCGGCGAGTGATGTTTTTTAATGAAAAGTTTTGTCATGTTTTGAAGTGTGTTGTATTTATTTTTTATATTAAAATATATTAAAATAATATTTTTTATTTTTAAAAAATATTATTTTTAAGATCAATACATCAAAACAAAACAATGTAAAATATATAAAAAATAATTTTTAATAAAAAATATTAATTTTTTTAGAAACACATATTGGTTGCATTTCCAAACATTTCCATATTAGAATAAGAAAAAGAAGTTATATTGGTGAGCAAGTTAAAGAGAAAAATAAAATAGTATTTGATATTGTAATAATAATTATTTTTTTAAAAATATATTTTTATTTGAAATTACATTAAAATAATATTTTTTATTTTAAAAAATTAATTTAAAATATTTTTTTTTTCAGAATAACATGGTGCCACAGGAACAATGAAAAGAAATGAAAGGAGAAAAAAATTAATGGTTTCCCAGTGGGGGACAAAGTGGTGGTTAATTATTATTATTATTATTTTTTAATTTAGTTTTGAATGAAAAAGTCCTTTAAAATTTAGAAAGATCCCTTTAAATTAGTTTTAATTAGACAAAATGACAATTTTTTTAATTGATTAAATATCTGTTTGTAAGTATAGGTATAATAGATATTTTACTTTGTAAATATTTTTTGTTTTAGAAACATATTAAAATAATATTTTTTTTTTAATTTTAAAAAAATAATTTTTAATATCAAGACATCAAAATAATTTAAAAATACAAAAAAATAACAAAATCTACACTTAAACCACAATAGACCCTAATTTTATCATGCAGAATGAAAAGACAATTTGGAGTTTTACATTTTTGTTATTGAAAATATTATCTTTTATCTTCCTTAATTACTTTCAATTGCAAAAAAGTCAAATTTCAATTTCAAAGTGCAAGTTTTCTCCTTCACAAATGAAACGACGCCAGATTTGGTGAAAGTGCACGCTTGTCAGGCATCGAGTGCAACAATAAATCAGCGCTGACATTACTCAGGGGAGGGCGTTGACTGTAAAGAGAATTAATTAACCATAAGAGGGAGGGATTCAGTCAATTAAGACATCATAATCAACAACTATAATACGATTGACCTGATTCCGAATCCCACTCATCATCCTAGATGCCACCCGCAAGAGTACCAATTGCCTCGAAAATAAGGGAGGCTAATTGCTCATCCCGGGCACTAATAACAGTCCTCGTTGCCCTAACCTCAATCAAGGCCATGCTTGGTTCATGGATGTGTACGATCTCATCGCTTCCAGATTCAGCATCATTCATGCATCGTTCTACAGATCCTTTCACACCCATCCTTGATAACAAAGCAAGCAGCTTCTCCACATCTGGAAAACCCCAATGCAGTAATGGCTTCTTTCTTGAGGGCTCTGATACCTTGTTGCCTGATAGTACCTGATGTTTGCCATGATCTATGAATAGCTGTCCTTCCAGTCTTGTTATATCTACGTCATCATGATCCAACTTTCTCCAACTGAACTGTGTAGCCAAGTCTGACGCAATCTCTAGATCCACACTGCCTTTCGATCTTGGTACACCTAATGTTCCATTTTCAGCATAGTAGAGTACTGAGAATGAATGTGAGCCTGAAAACTTGATTTGTTCCCTCAAATCCTCTGGAAACTATGTTGTGCAAAAACGAGGAAGACAGAATTTAGTGGTAGAGATTGAAAAAATATGAAATAAATACATAAATAATAAGCAGGAGGGACTAGGGAGGGAAGAATGGGGAAGGGTTTTACCAGAACTTCTTTTGGCCGCAACATCTCTAACAAAGGTTGAGTGTTTTGCAACCTAAAAAAGAGCCAAAAGCAATGAAGTCCTCCTGTATACATATGTAAATATATATATATATATATATATATATATATATATATATTTTAAAAAAAGGCAATGCACTTGAACTTTGTTTTTCCTCAAAAAAACTACAGCAGCTTGGTGAATAAGCAAAGTAAACAAGCAGACAAATTTCAGTTATATAACATTTCTCAACACTGAAAAGACATTGAGCTGAGGAAAAATAATCTTTTAATCCAGCTCAATTCTGGAAAATAAAAAATAAAAATCCCCATGTGTTGGAGTAATGCAAGGCCAGAAAATGATAACTTACATTACAGAATCCGAATAGCCTTAGAAGCCCTAGATTAAAAAAAAAAAAAAAAAAAACAGAAAAACAAAATTGCTTGACAGACAGAATCATGAAGCACAACTATTTACCATCCTCCTAAATTTTCAGAAAATGGATGTCTTGTAAGTGGGACCTAAACTATTATAGAAACAAAAAAGCTTACCTTATTCCAGAAAGGAATGAGCACTGGAGAACTTTCATTGCCATTGGCTTGAAAGGCAAGAGAGCCATATCAGTATCCAGTCCATCCTGCAAGTAATCCATTCAATTAGCCATTTCATAAAAGCAGCCCCAACTAAATCACATAGAATGGACCCTTGTTTGAGTCCAAATGACATTGAAGTGAATGCAAAGAAAGAAGTTCAACTCGGAATCAAATAAGATAATTCATAGAATGTTTGAGCACCTCCAAAACAAGCAGGGAGTTTTCATCCTCACGCCAACGCCGAAGCAAATGAACAACTGGACCAAGCCGCAGACTCCAGTGAGGAGAAAATACAATGCACGGTTCCTGCCAATTGGTTCTAAGCACATGATGTCAGTTTGTGGAGAGAAAGGAATGTTATGTAAATTCATCAAAATCTGCTATATCACAAATTGTGCTTTTTTATATGATACATCTTGCTTTCTGAATGAAGGGTAATTAATCCAAAGCTAATTAGAGGAAATAACGGCAAAGATATTAAAGATACAAAATGTTGGAAGAAACTTCCACTGCAGGGGTATTAATCCTAATCATTCTTATGGGAAGCACAATTCCAAATGTTTCAAAAGAAAGAGCTACTAGTGTTTTCACACTTTAACAACCATCTTGTAACATGATGCCAAATAGTACCAATTATTTTTCTGGGAATACTGCATAATCTAAATGTAGTTTCAATATGAATTTAAGCCCAAGTACAACTGAAACAAAACTGAAATGCTCAGATGCTCTTTGAAAAACACTAGCTTAATGAGCAATTCTAACAAAGCATAGGAAATAGTAATAGATTTTCATTCACAAACACAAAGAAGTGAGAAAGAATATTCCTGAGCCTAGTAGGATTTCGGAACACCGGCTTTGCTTTATTAAACAATATTGAAAAATTCCCTACACTGAAGTGAAGATTGAAAATACTGCCACCAAAGGTTGCATTAGTAAAAACTGACATTATCCTGTCAAAAGTCACCAGCAAGAAATATATTTACATAGCAAGGCTAGTAGTTTCTTACAATAGTTCGGGTGAGTGAACATCAGGAAAGACATAAAGTTTCTCTCCTTTCATGAGCTCCGAGTGTGAAAACAGTGGCTCACCAGAAAATAGCTGCCAGACCATCAAAAGCGAGAAACTTTTAACTTCTATTTTTATTGTAACACCATTAATGGAAAGCTCTATACAAACTCAACAAGGAAGACTCTGAATCCAGGTACCTTCTTTTGCCGCTCCTTGCATAACCATTCTGGTATGATATTGGTGAATGCCAGAAGTTCAGCTGCTACAGAAGAGATGACATATATTGGAACCTAAAGAGTGATGAATAATTTGATTAAAATTTAAAGGAAGGCATATCAAGCCTCAATTATTGAGATTATGATGCAGAAACAAATTGCTAGTTGCTCCTAATGGGTCTTTTGTGCATGTCGCCCCATCCTGAATCCCAAAACCTAGGATTCCCATCCTAAGAGGAAGAGGATGCTTTTGCATCAGATAGATAATGTCTTATACAATGAGATAAATCTTCCTAACTATTCAGACATAAAATTCCCATATAATGTGTTTTTCCTTGATAGGCAGCTAGATGCTTCATGACACAAGGCACATAAGCCATTCATTAAGTTACATGTATAAAAGATGAATACCCAGAAAAATAATGGAGTTTAAAGCCTAATAGAAAGAGGAAAGGGATGGGTTAGTTAAAATCACGCAAGCAATAGCCATATTGAATTTTTCTTTTTTTTTTGTATACAGAAAAATTATCAATGATTGATAATAAAAAATGGTTTTGCAGAGCAGGCATGATGAATGGCATAAACCTCTTGTTATCAAACATCACGCATCAATATTTACTTAATAACGTCATGTTGTTTTTTGCTGAAGTTGCAATTTGTTGCTCTATTTATGTGGGGTCCTAAAGCCCCTTCACTGCAGATACATCAAACCAAGAAAGAGAAAGCAAAAGCATAACTAAAGTTTAACAACAATTGTTTTTTCCAAGTTCTGGACTTGTATTAAACTTTCTAAGTTTCAGCATTTTATTCATTATGTATTGAACTTTTCACATATCTATAGAGGAAATATGTTTTCATAGATTACCTTCATAGCTGAAGATTCAAGGTACACTGGTATCTGTTCCAACAGCTGCAGAACAATTCCCAGTTGATTTAAAGGAATAATGACAGAGCCACCAGCTTTAACAGAATCTACAACACAAGAACAGATAAATGCCAGTTTCTGCCTTTCCTCTAAACTCTCATCATTACGCAATAAGCATTCTTTCAGTATCCGATCGTCATTATCAGCACTGCAATCACTGTTAGAAAAGCAAAATATTCATTTGACCTTTCTAGTAATTACAAAATTAAGGACTAAATGAATTCCTAATCTCCAAGGACTGCAGTCAAGAATCTGGCTGATATTTCATCCAATATACTATAGTAAGGGTGTAGGGAGACATTACCTGGGAGTTGACGGATTGTAGGTAGTTGAAGCAGAGAAGTTATTATCATGTTCATCATTTGTCAAGATACCCTCAGATGAGAAGTCTGAATATAATATCAGATCATTACCTCGCAGAGCATGATAATCAAACTCCATTGCATTAACAGAGTAAAATTTAGAGCTTGAAATACATGCAATATTTCTTTTTGGACTATTTATAGTCCAATTACAGGAGCCTATTTCTAAGCCCGAGCTGAATGCTTTAATCAACAATGTCCCATTGTACCAGGCTTCTTCTGCATATTTAAGTGTTTGAACCTTCTTCATGCAGTCCTCCACGTCCGCAGACCTGGACAACATCCTCTATCATAATATATTTTAAGTTCTAGTATAGAGAATATGCAAAATACCTAAGCAGCATGCAAATTAAAATGGAAGCAGCATAACTGAGAAGATGCCAGTAATAACCACTTAAAGTAATGAAAACATCAAAAGGCCAGCCTAAGGAAATGATCAAACAACATTATTAATTTACCGGGGATCTGTAAACCCATGATCCATTTTACAAACAACACTCAAACTTAAATATACCTATCCACTGCCAAGCAACTCTTTTATTTTTAAGATAAAAGTTTCCCAGTAATTTTCTTTCCAAGTTATAACTATGAGCACAAATCAACTTAGTACCGAACAATAGAGTAGAATAACACGTGCAAAAACAGATCAGAAGAACTCCCAATCAACAGCATGTGTTATGCTGTCAGGGAAACTGAAATTTTGTTCATTTCATTTGATTGTGCCATTTTTGCACCATATAATTAGGTAAAAATAAGTGCAGTGCATGCGAAGGGAAAAAAGTGATTTATGGAAAAGGCTCAGCGCCAATTTTCCATGAAAATAGATTAATCATAAAGCCTTACAAAAGTAATAACTTCAGTGTCACTTACCTGTACAGGGGCATCCATCCACCCAACTCTGTTCCATCTTTGCCTAGAGCTACTTGTCTCAACGCAGGTGAAAGCAGTTCAAGCTCCTCCCAGCTCATCCATTGAGGAGAACCAGAGTCAGATCCAAAAAAAAGATGGAATTCGTTATGCATTAAAACAAGATCCTCCATCATAAGCTGTCCCAGCCTTGTTGTTGCTTCAGTTGCATATATCTAAACAGTAGAACACAAAATGAACAAATTAAATAGCAAGAAAGGGGGTAGTTTCAACCAAAAATATAGAAATCTGCAGTTACCTTAGCAGAAAAGCCCTTGGTTTGAGTAAGAAAAGGGAGGGCAAGCATCCCCATTGTGCTTGAAATCAGTACAAGATCAATGGAAGAAGGATCCCAAAGGTGCAAATTATTGGGAGTTTTATACCAAGGCTGAGCACAGATCAAAGACTTTAGAATTTTCTGCCTCTTCCTCATATCCAAACAATTGTTGACAGCAAAATCATAAGTTTGCTCCCCCTCCTCCATTTTGGGTGATGGAGAAACAGGATAAAAGATTGTGAGAGCAGAAAGGTCCAAAGGGCAATCAAGTAATATCCTGAATCCACTCACATCAAGAATGTGACATGGTGGGAAATGGAAACCACTTCCTTTGCTCAAGCAAGTCTGCAAATAAACACTAATTAACTCCTTTTTTATTTTTTATAAATGAACTAACATAAAATCAGAATATATCTGAGAAACACACACAAATAGGGACTTACAAATTTCATGATTAAGAGAAAATACAATTAGGGTTTTGAGTTCACCCCCAGCCTCACCCTGCAAGAAGAAATTGCAAAACCCAGGCCAAATATGTCAGTAGGTTTGAGGTTATTTCTATCTTTGCTAGAAATTGTCAATAGCAAGGTCTAGGATCCTATTTTATATACCAGTGCCTAATTTTCCTCAAACAAATGGATTTTGTTTAAGATTTCACTTATTATTTAGTAATACTCGAGCCTTCCTATTTACAAGTCCAAGACCAACTAGGTTACATATATTTTAAGTCAATAAACATGTTTGTGATCTCTAAATTCCATCTGAAAGTTCAATGAAAAAATTCACAACATTTTCCTCACCCCCACAAAGTATCATGCTCTCTTCCAGGGAATTATCTTAACTGAGAGTTCATAAATCAACCAGAAATCAAATTTTCAATCAATCTGTAAGATTCCTCTAACAATAATCATCAAATACCCTTATAAAAGCAACAGCGTGTTATGACCTGTTTTCTTACTCCTCTCGCATGCATGCAGACATACACACATACATTGTGGATTAAACCTTCCCCCTTTTTTATCCAGTTGATTTCATTTTTCTCCTCAAATTATATAGTTTCTATCAAATTCTACCTGAAAATTTGTTCTATCAAATAGTTTGATTGTATATTTGATATTTTTCTGCCTTTCTTTTTGCTGTGTGGATCCAACCATGTTCCACTTCTATAGTTTAATGTTTATCAAGCAAATTGTAAAATTGAGACTTCTATATAACAGCAGATTTTTGAACAATTTGAACAAAGTCAAAAGATTCCTAAAAGTAGTTCCTGACTCAAATTAGTCAACTATGGGCAGTAAAAGAGCTGGTAGTGAATCTTCGGCGCAAGCTGTAGGAGAAGAACATAGCACATGCCTTGATAGTGCTGGTTTGGGGAACTCTCTCCTGGGGAATGGGTCCCCTGCTCTAAGGTTGCCAATTGATGATTTTAAAAGCCTTAATAACCCCCGAAACAAAGAGATCAGAGTGAAAGACTTGTCCTGGATGCATTGACTCACAACCTTGTTGGTGATGCAACAGGCTAAACCTGCCTGGAGCATGGGGTCCAGCCAATAGACCTACCTATTAGGGTTGGGTATTCTGGCAATGCATATGAGATGCGAAGTCCTGAGTGGAATGTACACGGGGGTTGGACCTAAACTCATGCCTTTCAGGATCTACTTTTAGGATTCAAGTGGCTTTTAATGCCCGATACAAGGGGGAGTGGACTAGGCCAGAGTTCTAAGAGAAGAAGAGAAGGAGAATGGGGAAGGTGCTCCGTATTGCATTTGTTCAGGTTAGGTCAAGGACTCAGCCACCCTACTCATAGTAGTATTGAAGCTCATAACCCCTCTATGGGCACCATAATGCTTGACGGACACCATAGACTACGACCAATGCACTACGAAAAAGATAAAATTTACAAAATTCTAGCATAAGGGTGTACAACGTAAACATCAATGCAAGTTCAACCCACTCACCAAGAAAACATGAAACACAAGTTCCTTAGATGGCGCAACTTGACTGTAGGAATAAGCAAAATTTAATTCTGACTTTTTGAAAAAAAAATCACAAAATATCAAATTGATACAAGGTACTTTACCCTATCTTAATCGCCAAGTAAATACAAGCATGGCATCCATTGACGCTGTCAATAGTTTATTCCTTTTCTTTTTGTCAAAGACTCTCTATCTCTAATGATCACCGAAATGGATTTGGTTGTGCATTTTTTTTTTTCAGTTTATCAATAAGAAATTAGAATAATGTAATTCCATTTTTTTAATTAAGAAATATAGCAGTGTTATTATATGAAAATGATGCAAAATAACACTGTTATTTCCAAAAAAAACAGTAACTAACTTCAGAAAAATTAAATGAAACCGCCAATAATAATGGAAAAAAGACGTATAAATACCATTGCACCAAACCTAAATCCCTATTTAATTATATCGAAAATGCACATTCCGAGCAGAACTGGACTGCAAAACCAGACGAAATAAAATTTTGACCAAGCCATTAATCTCACAACAATAATAATAACAATAAGGAAACCTAATATTCCAAATTGACAGTAAGAAAGCTTTCCTGAGCTCTAATCACAGCCTAAATAAAACAGACTCGCGCGAATAATTAAGAGAATTAACATAGATCAATGAGATTTAAATCAAAAGTGAAGCAATTGAATTAAGGAAAAATACCAGTTTTGACGACGGGGCAGCTTTTCTTGCATTCTTGACGGCACTTCTTAAGCTTGCATCTGTCGGAGGTTACTATAGCTATAAGCGTCAATTGATGTGCCATCTCTCCCTGTTTTTTTTTTTTCTTTATTTTATTTCGACTCTAAAGAGCAATTAAGAAGAAGACAGGAGAGACAGGGAATGGATCCGAAGAAGACAGGAGAAGATACGCGTGCTGGAACGCGCATTATAATTATAATAATTTTTTGATATCTCGAGAACTTACAGAGGTCAATCAAAATAATTTATCAGGTCCAAAATAACATAGTATATAAATAATTTGTTTGAGTGTACAGTAGTTTTTACTTTTAGATATTTTTTAAAATGTATTTATTTAAATAAATATTAATCTCTAGTAATTCTTATTAATTTTGATAAGCTAATATAAAAATATATATGATTTTTTAATTTATTTTTAAGTAAAAAATATTTTTGAAAAGTGTGCAATATAAAATAAGCACAAAAATAAAAAAATATTTAAAAAACATAAAGAACACTATTCTGATACATAATATTATGTAAAGCATATTTTTAGTAGGAGTAGTCTTTTCCTATTTTTTTAATCATAAATTGAAAATAGGCCAATCCAATTTCATTTTCGAATTGCATTATTTTTTATTGTATTTTCAGAAATGAAACGAGGGCACTGTGCTCACAAGTCATGCAAATCGGTATTGACATTGCAAGGGAGGACTCTAAACAGAATTATTAATCATAAGGAGGGACTCAGCTAAGCAATACATCAGAGCACAGGGATAACACATGTCGTTTAACCCTTTAAATCATCAAAGAAAACGAAGACCAGAGCTGGAACTTGCCCTCCACCCCGTTGCCAAACGCCCAACAATCCACATAATTGCTCTAGCACTAAAACAGATCCTGGTTTATTTATTCCTACCTAGCATTTATTTGTGCTCTGACACTGTTTTTCTTTTTCGATCACTGAAAGAAGCGATCAAGCAATTCTGATAACCGCACGACAGGTTCACAAGCTACAAATATAGCATATGATCAACCAGCATGAAGAAACTAACCAAGGCTTCACATGCAGTAGATAATAATTTGCATTTTACACAAAACCAAAATTCAAAAATTATCTCGTGCACGCATAAATCCCACTTGTAATTGTTCTTCAAACTACTCTTTTTTCTTTCTTCAAAAAGCTACCGCGGTGCAAAACACACAACGGTGACAGAAAATGCCGTCAAACTCTGTTAAGTTCCTTCCTATTGGTAAAAATTAAACAAGACACGAATCATTCCTGAGTGACAATTGAGGGAGGAAAGCAGAACAAAAGGATTTTCTATTACAATCAACAATCAGGGAAACCCTAACCGCCGCCGCAGCAGCAAACGTAGGTGCCTGCCAACAAAACCCAAGGTGAAGAACTCACATAGTGGCCCCGTGACAAGGAACTGTGATCGATGATGGGCTACCTATGAACAATATAGGTGGACAACATATGTATAGGAAGCACAAATCAAACATATATATTATGTTTATGTTGGACCAGCAATGTAATCATCAAAGTCAGCTAAAAAGGTTAGCTGGAGATGGTAAAAAGTAGGATTTATTCAAAGAAACCAGAATCTGCAAATGCGTAGCCAATCAAGACTAAATCCAGTTGACATGCAGGATGATCACTTCCACTTCTTAAATTTCCCTCCTCCGTGCTTCTTCCCAAACTTCCCACGCTTGAACTTTCCACCATGGTGCTTGCCGCCGTGCTTGAATTTTCCATGACCACCACCATAACCACCACCATAGCCTCCGCCATACCCACCATGGGGCACCATAAGCGGCTGCAGCGGCAGCAGCCCCCCCAGCAAGCAGCCCCCCCAGGCCCCCACCACTATGTCCTGAAAACATAAAAGAACGAGACTCGTCAACATAGAGGACCCCGTAACATACACAGTTGACAAACGGGAGCGTAGAATATCCAGGAAATAAATAAACATCTCATCCACCGATTTTTCTTTCGGAAAAAGGATAATACTAGGCCTACGATTTTCATAGTAAGACTTGAATGCAACCATCACGCCGGCGACCAGAAAGATTAGAGAATTATTAAACTTATATTTTTTTTTCTTTCTCTCTCTCTCTCTCGGCAGTTTAAACTATTGCAAAGATTGAGGAAATGAACAAGATACCTGGTTGGTGGGGAGCAGATGGGCCAGGAGGATAACCAGATGGTGGGTATGCACCGGGAGGGTAACCAGCGGGAGGGTAGCCCTGTGGAGGATACCCTTGGGGTGGATAGCCTTGAGGAGGATAACCTTGAGGAGGATATGCTCCAGGCTGTGGAGGATATCCAGGAGCACCATGACCATAACCATGACCAAAGAGACCTTTTTCCTGATCGCCACCATTCTTGTCCTTATCTTTTCCACCTCCCATGTTTAGTCAGGGAAGAATAACAGACTGTGCCTGCATATTTTGTTAAAAAAAAAACTGTTAGTTTGTCTGCAGATATCTTCACACTTAAAATCAAAGGGATTGAATCACGTTGAAATAGTCTCAAATACAAGCTATTAAAAATGATCATGGATGATTGTTAATTGGGAGTGAAATAGCAAATCAAATCAAATCCTGAAGAAAACCAAAAATCACTGAAAAAATAAAATCTCTAAAGGATTGAATTGATTTCAAGAAATTGTAATGATAGACGACAGAGAGAGTAAGGAGAGATGGGGAGGAGAAGAGAAGAGGGAGAGATGCATTATCGTACCGATTGAGATAGCGGTGTTGTGATCGAGATCGAAGACTTCTCAGGACAGAAACCAACTATTAAGACCTTCCATGGCTCCTTCTATATATATATATATACTCTAGTTCTTTAGGTTGATGATATTAATAATCCATAGCGACTCGTCTCATCCACTCCTCCTCTCACGCGTTTATTTTACGCGGATTTGACACGTCTTTTTTTATATTAAGCTAATTAAAGCACAGCTCTGCACTCCTCCTTTCCTTGGAATGCATCACGCATTCATGCATCCAAGGATTCCGCTCCTCCCCTTTATTTATTTGTTTTTTTTTATCTCGTTAATTTCATAGCTTCTGTCCATTTCTCCTCAGAACTTTATTGGTAAATAGTTGAATATTATGAGAGTGGTTGATACAAAAAACTATAAAAAAAAACTTTTAAAAAATATCTATATTTTGAAAGCAAGAGTTTCTTGGATGGTGCAGCTTGATCGTAGGAGAAAGCAAAATTCTCAATTTAATTCTGAATTCTTGGGGGAAGAAAAGAAGAAAAATCACAAAGTATCAAATTGACACAAAGTGCGTTGCCTGATCTTAATCACTACGTCGACAAAAAGCCATGGTGTATTCCTTTCCTATTTGACAAAGACTTCCTACCTCTAATGATCATCGAATCGGATTCGGTTGTCCATTTCGTTTTCAGTTTATCCAAAAAAAACAACACTGCTATTGTGCCCATGCAAACGAAATCAGCAAACACGATATCCCAAAATTTTGCCCATGCCATTATTTTTTTCCCTGCACTGAAGTAGCAAGAATGACCGCAGCATATTCAGGCAACGCTAAGACGGGTCAAGCCACCCTGTAAATTTACATCAAAGCAGAGATAGAAGAAAGAAAGGAACAAACTCTCCCTTTGAATCAAAGGATAGAACTTCTACATACATGCAACTGTTGGATAAGCAAATCTTAAGTATTCATATGTTCAAATGATGACATCCACTGTCATTTCCATACATTTCAGTTGATCCATCCACCTCACAGAGATCAAAGATTAGGATCAGCAAAACCTCAAAGCAGCTTCTAGCTCCTTATCATCATCACAGTTATATCCCAGCAGATAAGCTCGTGCTGTTACATATACAAACACAAATATGAGATCCAAGTACAAAGAACTTTTTGCAGAAATAAGAAGCGCATGGAGCTGAGTTCAAAGCAGATTCAATTACCAAAACGACCAGATCCCATGAATGGCTCTGCTTCATCAGTCATGCCGCCTTGTTGCTGGTCCTAAATATATTGAAGGGAAAAGAGGAATTAGAAACAAATATGAAGTCGAGATGCCACTACCACTAGCCGTTTCTTATCAGAGGGGGGTGCAGAAAAGTATGCTACGGCGCAATGTTAACCATTAACCTGTAAAATTCAGGATTGGGTTCATTTCATTTTACCCCCTTGAAATATGTGGTAGCTATCAATTTTTTATCCAAATGCTTGTTCTCTATCAAGTGACCCCTAACATTTCATCTATTTATCAATAAGGTCTTTTCTTACACGGTAAAATGAAATTAACCAACTCAGGGGGTAATTGATAATAAACTCTTGGGAAGAAATTGATAAACTCATACTTCAAGGGGGTAAAAAAGAATTAATCCGTAAGTATAGCCTCCTCCCACTATCTTCTGACAGGAATGGTCTTCCTTCTCTGCTTTATTGTGGGAGTGGGCAGCTGGTATTCTATTACGAAATGTACGAGCCAGAGGAAAATTTTTACTTACAGGATCAGGTTCCATTTCAGATGGCAAGAGCCACCTATCAAAGCAATGCCCTGATATTGTACAGACCAAAAGCTCATTTGTAGGGTCCATAATGACTTCTCTGCATGTATCATCACACACTGAAACAGAGAAACATGAAATTAATCACAATGCAGTGACATCATTAAATAAAAGAACATTTGCACAAAGTTTTAAAAAAAAAAAGGAATTTCCTACCATGAACATTTCCAGTTTTCTCACAAACAAATACATCTCCAAGCTTGAAATATGAACAAGTTTCTCCTGAACAAGCATGATCAGTGACCACCTTATCAGTCAGGCCTCTGCGGCTTTTCCATGTAGATACCTGATCAGCAATGGTCTTGTCAAGAATTATGCGGTCATCCTTCACCTTCATATGGTAAACAAATAAATGAGAAATAATGCACATAACAGAACATAACTTTTCCATAATGTTGCATATCCACTATCAAGCGGGTAAACAAACTACTGTCAAGCATGCACATCCCTGAATCTGCTATTAGATGCTCATAAGACAGACACCTCAGAGCTAATCTAGAATTTGTAAATGATAGCTGTTTCACAAAGCAGGGCAGTCCTTAAAATAATAATAATAATAAATTAAAAATTAGTGTTATCCTTCAGTCAATATAGGTGGGCCAAGACTTTTTAGCTTTTAGGATTTTTTATATCAGAGAATCGTATAATCTAAAGCCTATTCAGAATAAACAATTCCTTCCATGAAAAATAAACAGAAACAAACTCCTCCATGACATTAGAGAGAGAAAACGAGAAGAGAAAAAAGGGTTCAAGCAACAACAGCCTGTTACCTGTGAAGGAAGAGGTGCTTGGCTTCTCTTTGCTGCATTCATTTGAACATAATATTCTTTAAACTCCAGTGGGCAGTTCCTAACAAGCTTAACCATGTCCTCTTCATCACGCTGCATAACGTAAAGGCAAAGCTTCAACAACACTGCTACCCCAGCTTTAACTCATTGTGGGGGTGATATGATGCTGAAAAGTAACAGTAGAAATATCCTAAAACCTATACTGTTGAGTAGCTTTTAACACGAAGGAGGAATCTATGTTAATTTCTTAGAACCGGAACAGGATCAATACACGTGGTTAAGCAAAATGTTGATCACGGATGAAATGTTGGACTGCAAACTAGAGGGATTTATGTTGGTAAATAGCAAAATCACTTGCAATGGAGGAGGTTTCTGAGATAACTTTTTATTTAGTTAACTTTTAAACAGATAGAAAACTGAAGGAGCCACCTGAATGTACAGCTTCTTCCAAGCATTCTCGCATAACTTTGTAGCAGGGGGCAAGAAACCCCATCGCATGCAATACCTGCCAAATTTTGGGAAATGAGAAGCACGTCCTTGACTGGATGATACAAATATATATGAAGAATGCATAGCTTAAGTACAAAATATATCAAAAAGAGCATGGAGGGAAATTGATTGAATCAGGAATAGAATTGCAAATATTATCACGTTAAAATTAAACTCATAGCTACTGGCGGGGGGCAGGAAAAAAAAATTCAGTCCAAAGTAGAAGAACAGGGGGCGTTGATAGGTTTCTGAAAAGAGAAAGCCATCATTTGAAATCGATAATGAAAAAAAGTAACAAAATTCGGTGGCACATGTCAGTGTTCTCTATCACTCGCAGGAGAGATGAAAAAGAAATATGGTGAATCAATAGTATTGTTTTTATTTTTATTTTTATTTTAAATCATATTCCTATAAAATCTTTGAGAAGAAGTGTGGAAAACACAAGAACACGGGTTTATAAAAACTCCAAGCTAAAGTCATAAAGAACGAAAAGTAAGACGGAAAACAAGACCTGGATGCTAGAATGCAATCAATGTGAAACATGAAATGATGCCGATGCCGATACTAGTAGGAAAGAAAAGAAAAAGAGAGAAGGAAGTACAGACAGGCGACGCCATAAGGACTCATCAGAGGCTGCGAAATTCAGAAATCTACAAACTAGAGAGCAAGCTATGAGATCCTGCGAGAAATAAATAAATATTTTGAATCATTAGCAACAAATAAATACATAAATAAATAAAAATAAGAACAAGTGTTACCTCAGAGGAAAGGAATTTGAGGATGTGAGGAAAGAGCTCAGGAGGGATCTTGCTCAAAATTCCACTCTTTATCCTCCTTTGGTCACCCTTGTTGTTGTTGTTATTATTATTAGCTTTCTTTTTCTGATTTTGCTCCTTCTCTTCTTCTGGTGTTTCCTGGAAACGAACTCTCTTGCCTTTTGGTTCATCTTCTTCCTTCTTTGCCTCCTCTGTCTCCTCCTCCTGCTGAAAGTCAATGATCAGACTTTTAAAACAATCCAAAAAGTCGAAATTAAATAAATTAAGGATACCTGATCTTGATCGGAGACTTCAGAGAGTACCTCCGATTCCAGGAACTTGGCCAAAATCTCGTCTTCCTCGTCTGAGATCGTCATGCGGGGATCTGCGATTGACTTTCCGGTAAATTCGCCGGCGATTGGGAATGGGTGCTTGAATGGAGTTTTTAATAATAATTTAAAAAAAAAAAAAAAAAAAAAAAAAAAAAAAAAAAAAAAAAAAAAAAAAAAAAAAAAAAAAAAAAAAAAAAAAAAAAAAAAAAAAAAAAAAAAGCTTCGTGGCGTTGCGTTGCGTGATAGATGTTAGATACGAGGAAGATAAGCCTAGTAGCCACCAGCACGAGCCACCCGCCCACGTTGGATTATCGGTGGGTCGGGTACAGATGTATTGTTTTTGGTTTAAAAAAAAATGAAAAAACATTAAAAAAAAAAACACTTTTAACCGAAAAGGTAAGCTTCATTTTCACCATTATAGATTCATTAATATTCAAATTCTACATTTATAATTTAAAAATTTGTAATTTTGCTTTTATTGTTGCCATATATATATATAGACACACACTCTCTTTTTGCACTATCTCATGCACTTAATAATAGCATCTCCAAATAAATAGTTTTACAATAATACATTAAAATAATTTAAAAATATTTAAAAAATAATTTAAAATAAAAATAATTCAAGTCTTTTATCAAGCGTGATTAAACATGTTAATTTGATATGTCATGTAGTCAATTAATTGGTTACACATGGTATTATTATATTTATATAAATACATGTTTATTATTAATTGAGCCTTAGTTTATCTTTAATATTTATATAATATTATATTAATAAATTTAATATTTGATTTATGAATCAAAAGTAAAAATAAAGTTTTTGAGATGAAAATAGTTTACAAACAAAATTATAAAATTATTATAATTATGAAATTCGTATTATATTAAAACATTGTTCCAAAAAAGTTATCAATCAATATTCTTT